CAGCAGGTCTTCTTCAACACCAGAACAGTGAGCCCCAAGGTCAGTGGTGGGGAACTTCTACAGTACCTTCAACCTTGGAGAGTCCTTTCCCTTCAAACTCTTAATTCCTTAATTACCATTGTTCTGCATAAAAAGACCAATACACTGTTTTTGTTTCAGACTTAGTTGATAACTGAAAATCCTTGTAAAACCTACTCATCTCTGTCCTAAATTCTCTAGGTAAGGGTTAAAATGCTTACATCCCAGTAAGAATGGCAAAACATTCAGATATGCTTTTCTAAAGACCCTGTTGCACAGCTCTGCCACGACAAGAAACCCTGGTGGTTTTATTGTCCAGCCTGTAGTTGGCAAGAATAACACCAGACTTCAGGTTGTGTCCCATACAATATTTCAACACATGTAGCCCTGCGTGAAAGATGAAATGCTGGAAAAGGAAAGGTTGGAAAGCAGAGAATAAATGCATCTGGGTGCATATGTAACCATAATTTAAACTAACCGTGATCCCATTGCAATCAGCCCACAAAATTAGTTAAGGTAGGATCTAATTTATTTGGGAAGAATCAATGTCTGTGTTATATACCCTGTCACAAACATTGATTATTGGTGCAGTGAACTTCAGTGAGCTTAGCTCTGCACTCGGGGCTGATTTAGAAATTTATGGCAATGTGCACCATGTGAGACCAGGCTGATACCATACTCCAGCATTTTTAAGCACAGAATGTCTCTTTCCCTTAGACCCTGTTTTATTGGAATAATTCTACACTTGTAGTTCCTTGCTTTGGGTTGCTGTTCTGTTATCATATCATTGCAATATCTTGTGCCTCATATTGTACCATTTTACTTTGTTACTTTGATTGCATTTACCTTTTTGTTTGCGTTTTCACTACATTGCGTTTTTGAAATGGGAATGTTTAACAGTTTATTGTCCCAAATGTGGGCAGCACACTGCGCTTGGACTCTGGGTTTAATTCCGGGGCGTGCTCTGTGTGGAGTTTCTATGTAACTATATTTTACAGTGGTTCCCAGTCCTGGTCATAGAAGACGGCATACAGTACCTACTAATTTTAATTACTTAATAAGTTGCTCAATTGGAATATTTACAAGTTGTTTTTTTCTACTCAGAAGTTTGAGATTTTACTTTTGAATGGCAAAACAGAAAACAGAACTTTTGAAGTTAAAGGGATACATACCTAGGAACTTATTCAAATTAAGCCTATTATTAATTCCCTTCAATGTTCAATGGTATAACTCAGAGTTTGACTGTAAAAAAGCCCTTTCTGAGGGCTATTAGAATCAGGACTGGGAACCCCTGATCTAATATAAAGGAAAATCGTATTAATATGACTGGTGTGCAGTGCACTGAGGAAGAACACAGGTACAGGTTAAAACTAGAAAGAATACACTAGGTGTGTAAGGCGTACTGCAACTTCACGACATCTTGCATCAAACAAGGAAAGTCATTTGGTACCCAACTGAAAAACTCTACGTCACCGGACTTAATGATGATGTGAGGCAGCTGGGGGAACATTTCGCAACATCCTGGTTTACAGGGATTTGTAAGCCTCCTGCCCTTTTATCTTCAAAGGAAGTTAAGCTGGTTATAAAGCAGAGGAGAGATATGCACCGATAAAACACAGGCTTTAACACACAAACCCACTGCTAACATTTCCTCCACAGCCCTGAGCAGTGGGAGAAACTCATGAGAGAAGGCATACTTAATCTTTCTTGAATATCACCGCTAATTAAAGCTAAAATAAAAAAAAAACATTTTGCCTCTATTCTTTTTTTCTGAAGAACGGAACTTCAAAAAGGATCAGAATTAGCAGTAAGGCGAGTGGCTCATTAGGAGTAAGCCCTCAAGTGCGCGAGTTTAGGAGCTAATCTTGTCAGATGCCGGGAACTCAAGCATTATGAGTCACTGCTGTCCGGCCCTCACCTTTGTGATGGGTCCTTGGAACACTTGGAATCTCAGTGAAGCTCACTGATGACAATGAGCCTCTCCACTGTGTGCCAATGTTTCAAAGCCCACCGAAAAGTCAGGCTTTAAGTGACCCTTAAATTGTGAATTTCAGTTTGAGAGAGGGCCTTGTTTACGTCTGGCAGTCTTGATCATTTTTAAATCTGGAAAACCCCATATAAAGGAGGCAATAGCTACTGTACAAGCAGCATTAAATATGGACTACGCTTGATTGTAAGCTAGATTTACAGGGCTTGAGTGCCTGCAGTCTGTGGAGGACAAGTGACTCCACTTACAGTACAAACTAGGGAAAAAATTAAAATAATTTATTAAAGAGGGAGTGACAAAACAGCTATATCACCCTGCAATTCATAACTGACAACACGCTAAAGCTCAGCAGGTGTGAGCCTGGTCAGTACCTGTATGGGAGACCTCCTGGGAAAAAGGTGTTAGTGGGGCCAGCAGGGGGCACTCACCCTGCAGTCTGTGTTGGTCCTAATGCCCCACGAAAGTGACAGGGACATTATACTGTGAAATAGGCACCGTTCTTTGGATGAGACAAAAGCAAGGTGCTGACTATCTGTGGCCATATTTCCCACTGGCCTTTGCCAATGATAGCCTCCTCATAATTCCCCATCACTCTGTTGTCTTCCCCAATGATAGCTGGTGTGGGGTGAGAGTACTGGAGCACTATTTCTGCCGTCACATCATCCAGGTGGGGCTGCACACTGGTGGTGATGGAGCAGAGTCCCCACTACCTGTAAAGCACTTTGACTGGAGTGTCCAGAAAAGTGTCATATAAATGTGAGGTTTATTATTTTTTCTTAGCTTTTTTCCCCGTTTTCCTTCAACTCTTTGAAGTACTTAATTCCATAAAAGCGATTACTGTACTTAGACAGTCAATCTTCGACATTGTAATTCCAAAGTAGTCAAACACAATGTGCGTGCTCTGCTTTGTCTTCATCATGAACTCAGGTGTTCAATAACAATCTGCCTGTAGGCTTTTACACTGAGATTCAGGGACAGAATTGAGATGAGGAACAAGTAATACTGTAGGTTTATTCCATGCTGAAAAGAGAAGAGAGAAAACACATTTCAGCTGTGAAGTCTTCTTCAGATGTCTGATATGGAAAAAACCTGCTCAGAATAAAACTCCAAAATGTCCCCTTCATGAACATCTTCCATTCAGTCACCTAGCAGTCAGAAGAATTGACAATAAAACTGGAGTGCTTTTAGAAAATTCTGCTTTTAAAAAATACTTTACAGATATGTCCATCTTCAGATTGCTTCCATATTAAGATTTCTAAAGCAGATTGCAGTCTATATTCTGTGACTAATTTAACAGTTTTATTTTCTTCTGCAGTATTAATAAATGTGGTCATTAAAATTGTGCCAGCAGTAAGATTACAATACGAAATGCAATACAATTATAGCAGTGATTCAGCCTTACTTTGTTACAGAATAGCCTGCTATTTTTCTAATACTCTAAATGATGGTGCCCTTTAACAGTCACAGAGAAAGATCTTGAAATCACTCCCCGAAAAACAAAACTATGCAAATTTTCAAAACTGCCCTTTCCTTGCTTCCAATTCCAAAGCAAAAGGTTAACAGAGTTTACATCTAAATTACAAAGTGTATTTTTCTTCCACAATTAGGCCAAGATATATCATTAGCCCAAGATCAGACATAGCAAGCGGCCTAATTGTGCAGTTTCATTAAATGTCGCCCATCCGAAGAACACTCCTAATGCTTTGTTAAACAACAGTTCCATTTCTGTCTGCTGCTCGGTGGCATCTAATGAAATACTGTTTGAAGAAAAAGAGAAAAAAAAAAGAATAATTGAATGTCGTGACTTCAGAGAAAATCCTCTGGGGAAATCAAATTTAGCTTTCCTACAGTAGCACTGAATTAATATTAAAAACACTTGGCATATTCACCCCCGATATTTTGGCAATCTTACCAACAGACATATATAACACTACTCTGCATGCAAAAGCAGCACACAGCACAGTGGTGCAGTGGTTATCATTGCTACCCTGCAGTGCCTGAGCCCTGGGTTCAACTCCTGGGGTGCTGTGTGTGTGGAGTTTGCATGTTCTCTCTGTACTTGTGTGCATTTCCTCCCACAATCCAACCTGCTGGTAGATTAATTGGCTTCTGGGAAAACTGCCCCTCGTGTGAGTGTGTGCATGTTTGTTTGTGTCTGCTCTGTGATAGACTGGCATCCCATCCACGGTGTATCCTGCCTTGCACCCTGGGTGTTGCTTGCCAGAATAGGTCCTGGCTCTCCTGCAATACTGTATTTGATAAATGGATGGAAGAATGTGAATTCAGTGTCTGAGTATTTTCTTTGCATTATCATTTATACTACGGTATATACCGAGTTTATGCATTCATGTCAGCTCCACAAAACTATAAAAGATACTAGTTTTGGAAAACAATAATTACCAGGATACACCAAATTTTAATATATGCAAAAGAGGCAGAAAGTGTATTTTCCATTCTTAAGTTTTGTTTTCTTAGACTACACAACAATTTCTATAGTAACACAGTTTAGAAAAAAAAAACAGCTGATGACCCTGACACTTCACATAAATATATTTAAGACCAGTCAAAACAGCTTCAATGAAATTTGGCTAAATAAAAGATCTTCAGGGTTTTTTTTAGAATTATTATAATTGCTTAGAATCAGTCAGTGTCACAGTGGTTTTCCACTATAGCAGGAGTAGAAATATAGGAAAAATAAAGCGAACCCTATAGTAGCAGATCTTCTGTATCCTTGAATAAACAGCTGGACATACGAGAGAGATGGAGAAAAAGAAAGTGTGTGTTTCAGGGGCTGCTGAGCATTAGTAGACATTGGTTTATTTGAATTGGTGAGGCAGAGAGGTCACTGGTCCATGCAGTTCCTGTATTACAACACTTCTAACAGATGTAAAAGACAGTCAGTGGTACTTTAGCTACATTACAAATTGATTTTTAGAGGATGCTTAATAGACACTGGTGGAAACCGCTGGTATCAGTAGGTGCTCTGCCACTGATTTATAGTAATTCATCAGTTCCTCTGTTTCACCCCAGTGCTTCCTTAGAATTGACTGGACTGACAAAAACTGCAATTTTCACTGCTCCCAGACATCAATCAAGTCCCACATTCCGCAAGTTTAGTCATTTGGAGCACAGCAAGGCTAATGGGACAATGCTTTGTCTTCGGATCCCATACTGAAACATTCCTTAATAAACAAAAGGGAAAAGTGGAAGTCTCCTTCAGCGTTTCCCCCTTGGGTTTTCTTAAGGATCAATGTAATGCACTGCTTTTCCAATTCCACAAACTCATCTTCTAACACTTTTATATAATCTTCAGGCCCACAGCTATAAATCGAAAGTTGCAGGCATGGCTGTGGAATGTACTAGGCCTAATCCCCAAGACAGGACAGTACCTAGTTATTTATCAACTATTATTATCATCATCATCAACAACCCAAATTCACAGAGGGAAGGATACGAAGAGGAATGCTGCAGAGAATTGCTGCAGAGGAATTGGACAGGCGGACCTCCGTTTTACTGTAAAGAACAAGGAAATCTGGTTACCTTCTCAGTTGGTGGGGAAGACCAGGAGCTTGATTTGTGAACCTCCGGGACTCAATCACTCGTTTGATGGATAATAGATGGCTAAACAGCTGCCAATTAGATAGATCTAATTGGAAAAATAATACAGATGCTGAAGAAATTCAGGGCAATTCTGAGAAACTATTCTTCTCGCACCCCTGGTGGCTTCTGGGTAAGCTGATGGAATGCTGCACCATTTTTTATGACCGTTTACCAAGAAGATGAAGACAAATATAATCTAGGAGGCCAATTCCTCTTTTTTTTTTTTACTGCCTCTCACAGGCATATTGATCAAAGAGTGCGTAAATCTCCCTAGCCCTGATCTGTAATGCCATCTTAATTTACTTTATTAGTGTGCTTTGCTTAGCGGTATTGAAGATGCTAATCATTTTAAATAATGCCGCACACACAGGCCCAGTGAACCAAGGTTAAGACCAAACAGAGCCCGAGGTTAAAGATAGCAAACAAACAGCAGCAAACTAGAATATCCCATTACACCTGGACGCATAAGCCCAATTCCCTTTTGTGTCAAAGAGCAGCCACTAACCAACGGGACAGTGCTTCCCAAGTGCGTCTTGATCTGGGTGCTGACTAGCGACCCTTTCCTGTATTCAATCATATGCCTTTTGCCTCTCTCAAAGGCAAAAGAGAGCACACTGCCCCTGCCAGTACTGCCTTTTGCCTGGGTATGTGGGGCTGTTGATCCAGGCCAGTCCTGTTCTCACTGGATTGGGAATTTCTACTTCCTAAAACAGGGGGTCGCCATCCGCGACACAGGGTGGCAAGTTCATGGGTCCCATTTCAGACCACCTCTTTGTCAAAGCGCTTTCTCAAAGTTTTACTGCCTACTGTAGGTGCGGGAACAGTGTTGCATAGTTTGTAAGTCTCTGGTCTCATAACTGGTGGCTTGCGAGTTCGTCCTGCTGGGGACCTGCTGTCGTACATTGAGTGAGGTACTTCATCCATGATGTTCCAGTCCGTCCGGCCGGGTGAAACTGGGGACGTTCACTGCTGGGGATATCATCCTTGCAATGGACCAGTGTCCCATTTGTTTTTTCCCTAACAGGAGACAGAACAACATCCCACACCTGGTTGAGCTGATGCTAACATATTCCACCAGGCTCACCAAGCTGATGGAGCTGGTATGCTGTCCCATTGCTTAGTAGCTACTCCTTAACATGAAAGGGGAAAGGGAGCCCCAGAGCTGTTCATCAGTGAAAGATAAAGAGCAGGAGCCGTGTTGGTACTGTATCGCTGTGGATTGGGGGTATCACACACCTGACAGATTTTCAGCAGCACTGGAATTAAACCTCATCCACCCCGCTGTGGGTGAGGATATCCTGTTGCTTAGGGGCTACTCCTCGCTTTTGGGGAACATGTGTATCCTAATGTTTCTTTCACACCAAAGTTCTTTATCTGGTCAACAATGGTAGCAAAAAAAAAAAAAAAAGACCATTCTGAATAGTATACTGTAACCAAAATCTACAGTTTACCTTCCTTCTGGTTTTCTTTATTTGTGAGAAGCAGAATTGTCAGAGTGGTGATAAAGTATTAATACACATCTTGAGACACCAACCATATTTTCACTGTGGACTCTTTGTCTTGGGGGCACTGAGTCTGAACAATATGGGGACAAAATATTTTGTGCAAAATACAGGAGATCTCTCTTTGTTGTTAAAATCAGGGCTGGGTCAAATCCATCACTTAACCCATGTTAACAAAGCACTTCTTTGGGGTAAATATGTGCAGAGTGGCAGTTACCATATTTTTCTTTTCCCTTGAATTCTCAGAAAGGGTTTTTTAACTAATTTTGAACTTGATATCACAAAACAAAACACACAAAGAATACAAAGACAGGTGGTGGGCACGAGAAATTGTTTACAGCTCTGCCCTTTGGTTTATTTCAAAATACACTTTAAGTGAAACAAAGTGTGACTGATTTGAGGAACAGCAGACAATTTTCCAGCAACTTTCCCTGCACAGAACGATCCCAAGCTCTCAGTCATATGGAATACTAGTCCAATCCCTGAACACCCTCCCTCACATCTTTGTAACCTCACATGTGGACCAGAGTGGGCGGTACAGAGCTGTAAATATTTCAGAGCCCTGATAAACTGGTACCCACGTACTGTAGTGTTTCAACAGCTCCTGCTGGATCCAACACAGTGAGTGATGGAATAAGCAGCTGGACCTATCATATTCTAAAAACTATAAAAGGTATGTAGATAATCATTAATAAGATGAATCAATATGATGGCAGTGACCTAGCCAGACTTTTATAAATACAGTATCTTCACTGAACTTAATAAATTCAGTTAACCTGCAGAGAATACATTTACTTCTAAAAGATCATGTATTCTTGTGTCCGATCATAAAATACACATTCCCCCTGTTGTACTTTCACATAAATTGAAAATGTCTTGGCTCAAAGTGCAAAACATGGCTTTTCTCCTCCCTAATTACTGTAAAGATTCTCTATCCTCAGATTGCTTACTAGCTCTTTGTCACAATTTCCTCCCTTTTTACCTCTTTACTTCCTAATAGATTTTTAACAGGAAATTATACATCCCCGCAGAAAAAAATCTTGTGAATGGCCCATAAATTCCATTAACGGCTGCACTCAGCTTTAAAAACACATGCTCCATTGAAAGTGTCGGGAAAGATGTTTGGGTGATTGACGGTTGTGAGGTTGTTTGACCTAGGAGTTATTAAAAGCAGCTATAAATCAAAACCAGCTTGGCTGGGTGATTTGGAGATTAAAACACGGATGTTTCTAGTTTCCAGGTAAGGTGTGCAGGACAATGCTGGGATAACTGAGTGATCACCCACTGCTTGAGTGATCACTGAACCCATGAGCGCTCAATGCCACTACAATCCATACACCTTCCATTTACGATCCAATTCTGTCCACAGATAGTGTTCTACCAGCACCCTAATGAGCTACTTTCTAAGACAGATCAATCCCTCCATTATCAGCAAGCCACTTCACCTTCTGAGGATGGCCGCAACCTGGAGAGAGCTGGGATTGAAAACGGGACCATTCTGAACCTGAACAGGACACCAGTCCATTGCAAGGCCACAGAGGAAGGGATAATTCAGAAAAGCCACACATTCCTTTGGGAGGTGGAATGAAACGCACACAACATACACAAGGAGCACATGCAAACTCCACACAGAAGTTACCCCTGCAGATTAAACCCAGGACCCAAAATGTTGGAGTAAGGGAGGGATTTTGTTTAGTTCTCATCAAATTCACGGGATTTTACTTAAGCATTTATTTATTTATTTTATTTCTGGGCATCTAAAAAACTCTTTGCGAATCACAGAGTGAAGTGTTAGTCACAACACTTCTCAATCCAAAGGCTTGCATTGAGTGAACAATGGCGCCGATCATTTTCCAGTCGCGGCCAGATGGCTTTGAAATGAGACACAGCTCTGAAGTGCTTCCAAGACTGCCAGGGAGGTCCTGGCAGAAGTGACACTCGTTTTTAACATCAGCCATCCAGGAGATATCTGCATTTGGCTGGCAGTGGAGATCACCTTATCTAATGATCTGCCTTTTCATTAGTAAGCCAGTCAGTCCAGGGCCATATTGCTTTTAAACAGAAATCTATAGCAGAGCAGTGAAGGACAAACCAAGGACACATGTTCTCTGCGAAGGGAGATGTGAACGAGACTTCCCTTGCATGCATCGTCCACCCCAGATAATCACTGACTGCAAAACACATTAAAACCGAATAATACCACTCCACAAATGTGGCTTCAATCCGATCAGATCTGTACATTTCAAAAGCCTCTGACACCCCTTCACCCAACTCCGATCCCTTCACAGACGTAGCATCAGTGGGTCTTATGATGGCCTGCAACGTTAACCTGAGATGGAAATTTGAGCTACGGTAAATCATACAGTAGTGGCTGTGGCAGAATTACAAGAAGATAAGAGAGAAAAAGACTTCTGAAGAGCAAAACAGCCTTCAATTCCACACCATCACCTTACTCGAACCTTGACTGGGATGCCGCTTACAGAAAACACAAGAATCCCAAGAGTTGTTCCAATTTGTCGGAGCATTTCCCTGAACTCCAGTTCAGCGGGAATGCTGCAAGGAGAGCCATGTTGTCATGTCTTGGGTCACCCGCAGGCATTATTTTAACTGCTCTGCATTCTTCGATTGCACTGAGCAGATGCAAAGGTGACACAACGGACAAGATGGATGGTGCAGAAAGCACTGTTGTGTATTTTGCAACATCAGAACGTCCTCCCTGTCACAGCAGCACCAGACAGGCCGTGCTTTAATGGTATTGATCTCTACATGCTTTATTATCACATATACGGCCCTATCACCCCTTCTCGCAAGCCGTAAATATACATCACGCTGCCACACGCCATTATTTTTTATCTGCCCGAGTTAATAGGATAGAACGCGAAGCATGAATATGCGGACACCAGAGAGCCTTCGCTAATATTTCACGGCTTCTTCCCCCCTGCTGATGCTCTCCAGCTTTCAAAAAGAAAGAACCGAGTCTACCACCGCCTGGTCCGGATTCACCCTTTCGCTCGCAAGGCGAAGGCGTCTCGTTTCAGGGCGCAAGTGCGCCTGGAAGAAATAAAACCGCGCTCCGATCTCTCCAAAAAGCGCGTGGAGGTGTGGCATTTGTGTGCATTCTTTGGGAGTGACCGTCAACAGCAAACGCAGCAAAACAGACGTGCTTATAGGATTGCTAACCTACTCGTTTACCACCAATGAATAAAAGAGTGCCGTGTAGTACATTAAACACCATGTACACTACACTGCACCCGGCTGCAAAACCAGTACTCTGCTTCCTTTTATGATTACACTTTTTGTAAAGTTCACGGGGAAGTTCTTTGCACTTCTATGCTCTTAAGAAAATGATTGTATTTTACAGTGCGGCAGCACAGTGGTGCACTGGTTAGCTTTGCTACCTTACAATGCCTGGACCCTGGGCTCAGTTTCTGGGGCACTACCTGTGTGGAGTTTGCATGTTCTCCCTGCCATTTGCATGGGTTTCCTCAAACAGTCCAAAAACATGCTGGAGGTCAATAGGTGCTGGAGTGAGTGAGTGTGTGTCTGTGCCTGTTTGCCCTGCATTGGACTGTAGTGCTGTCCAGGGTGTACAGTGCCCTGTCTTGGGCCAGTTGCTTGCTGGGATAGGTTCTGTCTTCTGACCATGAATTGAAATAAGTGGTTAGAAAATGGATGGATGGATATTTTACAGTGTAACTCTGTAGAAACAAGGGAATAAATCACTTTGTTTTCAGGAGTTCCCAAGCCTGTGTCTTATTTACTTTGGTGTGATCTTTTTTTCTGTTCCCAGTTCTCAGAGAAGCAGGAGAAGAGTTTTACTGGATTCGATTACAAACACCCCGAAGGTGTATTTACATCAGATTGGTACAACACCAAATAGACCCTGGTATCAGAAGATTTGTGTTTAAAAATAAGATAAAGACTTGACCAACTGGGTTAAAAAATAACTGGAATTTAGTATTTTGACTGATTTTTATACTGCAGTAATACATAGCACAGCGTGTGTTGTATGGATTGCACAACTGCAGTGGGGATGCTGCAGTGTTTGTAATATTTTTGTCAGCATTTCAAAATCGTAACTAAGGTGTCCCATCTGTTTACAGTATAATGATACTAGCCCTGTATTCTTCTTTGGTTTGGAGAATTTTACGAAAAGACAACAAAAAGAATAGGTCAAAATGTTTGTACTGAAATTCTCTGGGTTCCCTCCTTATTGAATAACCACAAATGTTTTTAAAAAGGCCTTATTCCTCTCTGAAGGAATTTTAGATTCTGTATTTAATCGGTGGCTTTATCTAAAGTAGTGGTGAGGTTTACTGCAAACATACCTCTCAAATCACAAATACTCTCAGATGCTTTTCTTTAAAATAATGTGAACAATAACAAGCCGAAATTGCTATACTACTCAAATGTTTTTATATATAGTAATAAAGAAGTAACCATGGCAACAGTGTGTTAGGCAGGTATGCGGATAAACTTGGTGAAGCCCTTCATCATGGTTCAATTTAACCGTTTAGTTGACTGCTTTCAGATGCATGACTAAAACTATTTGCTGTTAACACAAAGTCTTGTCAATGCTCCACAAACAATCCTGTGCTCTGGAATTATAAACAGCGCTGGAAATATACAAGCAGTGCATATTATTTTTGTCATGACACAATAATCAATTACAGGAACATAACTGCAGGGTACGCTTGGTCTTAACCAAAAGGCCGAGAAGCGATTACCTTCAGGGTAAATACTGAAGCGCAAACCACACACTAATAGAAAGCCAAGGGGAAGTGAATTAACACAGGTAATATCAGGAGAAGCTTCTTTACGCAAAGGGTTGTGGAAGTCCAGAATGAACAACCCAGCCATCTTACTGAAGATATTCTGGCTTCCTTAAAGAAGCAGGTGGCTGAGACCTTAGGCACAGTTACCCACCAGCAACCAGATGAGCTAGACAGGCTACAAACTAGAAAGAGCTCTGCTGATCTGACATACAGTACCTGTACATATCCCACACTGCACAGCTTTCTTCTTGCCATCTCTGTCATGCACAAAGAAAGTTATCTGGGCTGTGCCTCGGTGAAAGAAAGATAGCAGGCATGGAATAACATGTCACTCTGATAAAAGCAAGTAAAATCTGCAAATGTGTCCTCCGTAAATCATAAGAACACTTACACTTGAATAGGTAAAAGAAGCTCAACTTGACTTTTAATGTCCCTAAAAGATTCATATGAAACTTGCTGAAGAACTCCAAAAGACACTTCTAAGCGTGTGAAAATATTCCCTTAATAAACCCACTGTACATATTTTTGTTACAAAAAACGCAACAAATGCATGTTAGAACCAACAGCACTTGAACTGAACTGAAATGTAGCTTGCAGTTCAGAAACCTTCAGCAATAGTTTGTCAGTTTACGGACTTTCAGTATAACTATACACCACAGAGTACATCTCACGTCTGCGTTAATACCTACTTCAGAGACACCACGACAATGTCAGTATTAGCAACTAGGGGCCTTCACACCACAGAGACACTGGAACTCAATCCGAAGAATAACTGAAGTGCGCTTCAACGATCTTGTTGCGATTACGGTCTTTAGACACCCTAATCGGTGACTTTGTCAGTAAGCGCTTTCCAAACGGGGGGGAAAAAGTATGTCTGTGGCCATTTTATTAAATTATTGTTCGGGGGAATATCTGAATAGTTTACAGCTCTCAGCACCCCGACAAGTAAAATCCACACCACCTCGCTCAATTCTACAACGAATTACGATTCCAGCGTGCCTGCGTGGGTATCACTTTCACAGTTCGACCTGCAGTCGAGATGACTCAGGGAAGCAAGGTGATTGAAGGCCCATATGCTTGAATCTGTGGCACTCTTAATGTGTTAAGAAAGCCTCGTCAGTATTTATGGCGCAGTATGAAGTCTTACTGGAGTTGCAGGGTCGATGTCAAACTCAGGCGCAGATTTCCTTCTTGGTCTCAAGCTTCGGATGCAGCACGATTGTCGGTTTTCTCCGGCGGGTCCTGTGCAAACGAACGCATTCATACAGCATCGCCTCCTGCTGGTGTGCATTCGGACAATACGTACATGTTCTTTAAGTTACAATTAAAAAGCAATTAAACACCAGTCTAATTAAATTATTTATTTTAAACAGCTGCTTCCATTTTAAATTTATAGTTTAAGACAACGAACCCAAGCGAACCCAAATAAAATATCTAACGTTCGCTGGGGGCTTTTAAGGCTGGGCAGATTCGGGCTCCTCGAAAACTAGTAATAGCAACTGGTGTGCGCAATGAACTTGTTTGATTACAAACCCCGGTACAGCTTTTCCAGCTAAATTAAGCGAGCAACCACATGTAGTCCGAACATCCTTCATATGAACAAGCGTTAATGCGTTTTATTTGTAATAATTTAAAAGAGAAAGTCTAATATAAATGTTTGTTCATAATGTATAATAGGTGTTATGAACAAACAAAAGTGGTAGCTCTCGAGTCTCAGTTTGATAGATCTTGCGTTACAGGAGCTCCGTCTAGTGGCAGAATTAAAGCACTGCAGGTGCTTTGAAACAGCAGTGGGAAAATCGAATGTGCATTTTTACAGCGCTTCTCATTCCGAAGGATCTGATCCCCAGAGATCTCACCTCCGAAAGACGAGACCTTTTGCACCTTAATGAATTCGATCATCATACAAAGGCATTGGCATTGAATTTCTGTTGGAGGCAGAAGAGCGCCACCTACTGGCTCACCACCTCACTTAAAGCAGCAGCTCTCTCTGGAGGTCTGTCCCTCTCAGCCCTGGCCTATCATCTGAGATCTCAAAAGAAGGCAATATCTCTGCCAACATAACTCAGCCTCTGTGGGCGTTCCAGTGGTCCATCTGTTACTGTATAAAGCATGGCTAAATACATAATTCTCAACATCAACTCAGTACTCCTTGCACACTGACTTTCCTGCTCTTCGTTACTTAACCCTATTAACGCCTGACATATTTTCAGAACTCTATTTCTATTTCTCTGCCTTCATAAACCCTTTTTCTTTTATCATTCAGAGCAGCCCACGCCGGTTAAGCATTAGTTGAATGGGCTCTTTCGTTCCCTATCGGACCAATTCTGTGTTGCCTCACTGTGGTTTCAGTGCTTTGCTGCTGCTGTTTTTTTTAAATTGAAAACAGTTCAAGCAGCTACAGTCAGTTCTGTTTTGCTAGAGTGTCTGCTTCATCATCTTGGCTTTTGGTGTCTGGAAATGTGCCTCTGTCTCAGTGCTGGTATTTTAATAATAATAGTAATTGCTGACACATACTTTTCCTGACCCTCCACTCAGGACACTTTACAGGTAATGTGGATCCTCTCCACCACCACCAGTGTGCAGCCCCACCTGGATGATGCGACAGCAGCCAGAGTGTGCCAGAACGCTCACCACACATCAGCTATTAGTGGGGAGGAGAGCAGAGTAATGAAGCCAATTCAGAGATGGGGATTATTAGGAGGCCATGAATGATAAACGTCAGGGTGAAAATAGCCAGGACACCAGGGTTACACCCTTACCCTTTTCAAGAAGTTCCCTGGGATTTTCAATCACCACAGAGAGTCAGGACCTCGGTTTTACATCTCATCCGAAGGACGGCACCTTTTTACAGTATAGTGTCCCCATCTCTATAGCGGGGCATTATTTCTGTTTTTTTCCAGCAGAGCTATCCCAAATCTATTTGATTCCAGATGAGCTCTCTAGTATTAAAATGGGCCTTACATTCAGCAAGTAGCCTGCTTGATTAGACCCCTGACATTGTTGGGGTCTAAAAAAGTTAAACTTTTTTTAACTTTACATATTTTGACAACACTCGGTTGTTTATGAATGGAAAACAAGTTTTAAAGTTCTGTTTACAGAACTTACCATCTCATTTAAAAGCTACAGTGAAGGTTAGTATCTGCTGGAGTCATGCAGACCAGAATGGGTCTTTTTCTACATCTTATATGATTTTACAGCAATGACCGAGACATTTCTGAACCTGTACATTTTAGATGCTTGAAGATTGGGGCTGAGGAACAAGGCGAGAGGATTAATAATTAATAATAATTCCTTACACTTATATTGCACTTTTCTGGACTCTCCACTCAAAGCACTTTACAGGTAATGGAGATCCCCTCCTCCACCACCACCAGTGTGCAGCCCCACCTGGATGAGGTGACGGCAGCCACAGTGCTCCAGTACACTCGCCACACACCTTTTTAGAGTATAGTGTCCCTCTATCACTATACTGGGGCATTAGGACCCACACTGACCGAAGGGGTTAGCGCCCCCTGCTGGCCCCACTAACACCTCTGCCAGCAGAGACCTTAGGTTTTCTCCCATCTTGTAGGGCGGACTAGATCAGTGACTTCCCAAGAGCTGTTTGCAGAGCTGTTTGCCCTAAGAGTGCCTCCTTCAATGTCGGGCGAGTTGTTTCCCATGGCCTCTGCAATACTCCAGAAAACCAGCACAGAGCGTCAGCGCGTGTGTCACGACATCAGAAAGGTGACAATTAACCCCACTGGTGGGTGGGCCTGTTTAGCCTGTTTGTAAGTTAGTAACTAATTGATCCAAGTATCTCATCCAGCTGTTTTCAAGTCTCTTCTAAGATTAAGTGATAAAGCGTATGACAGCAATGCTAACACCCCTGTACCACCATACTGTACCACCCTGATCGCCTACTAACAGCTGTTTAATCAAAAATAGCAGTAAGTTTAATCAGAAACAAGCAAGTTGAGGTTGTCACTGATTACTGCACGTGTGAACGCAAAGACTGTGAGAAACAAACTACAGGCAAACAGATCGATTTCTGCTACTGTTTCCTTCAAGAATAATAATAATAATAATAATGATAATAATAATAATACACTTTTTTTATATAACGCCTTTGAAGGTGGCTTCTCAAAGCGCTTTACAGGATGACAACAACAATAAATAAAAAGAATACACAAGATAAAACACAATTACAACAATACAACAATTACAATAGAGGAGACCGTGGATGGTGGTACTAAGAAGAGCAGAGGGGTGAAGAA